GTTACATCCCGCACGCCCTAAGTTTTAGGACCTGAACTTGCACATGTCTACCAATAACCCTTTCCAGCCATGCAACTCCCAGAACATTGGCAGGCGTGGGATTTTTGACACTTGCGAGCATTCACATCCAATCCCCAGTGGCCCAAAACACTACGGGCAAATACCAACGTGTGACCAGTTAGGGAGCCCCATTTTCAGATGGCCTATCCGCACATCAGGTTCAGGGATGGATCGCATCCTGCCGACGGGCGCGCCAAACCAGTCGGGATGCCCAGCTGTCATCTCTCTGTCTCTCTCTCTCTCTCTCCCTCTGCTTCCCCCCATACATATTCACTGTGTATTTATGTGTGTGTATACGTATCTAGCTACATATGTAGACATCTACTTGCAGAAAAGGTCTATTTTAAGCGTATGTATACAAGAATGTACACACACACACATATATATATATATACACACATATACATCCGCACATGACACCCTGGCAGTGACGGAGTAGTTTCATGCGGGTTCAGCTGGTGGGCTTTCTCATCAAAATAGGGAAAGCCCAAGGTTATGTATATCTTCTATCTTTTAGAATTACTCTTTTCTCATATCAGGTTCTTGGCGTCTAGAAACTCAGGCGCAACGGCTTCTGGGCCGTGCTTTCTGAGCTGGAACAAGGCCCAGCCTACAATGAGGAGGAGCCGCCGGGGTGGGGCGTATTGACTACTTGGAGGGTCTGGGGGGACTTAGTAATAATGGAAAAGAGGATGGAAGCTACTAGATTATTTGGGGTTTAGGATTTAGGGTTTAGGGTCAGGGGGACTTAATAACTGGGTCAATATTGGGGATAACTAGGGTTACTATATGGGCTATAGGGGTTATTGACCTACTTACTAAGTCTCCCTGACCCTCCAAGTAGGTGGCTGTTATTAGGGGGCTTATCTAGCGCTATATTATAGGGGTAGTGGACGAGAAAATGGAAGCTACTAGGGTTTCTGGCTGTGTGTGAGCCCAGATGCAGTTTAGGCATAGAATTCCAATAATCGAGCGCCACATGGAAAAGAAAACGCATATTAAATGGAGACGGGTTATTTACGAATTGTATTGGGATGAAGGGTTCGCATAGCCCAGCCTATGCGACGTAGTGCTTGTTGGTGAGAATGAAGGAATGGGGGACAAAATGGCATCCATCATGTTATTGTGGATGGTACAGGGGCTATCATGGGAATCTATGCGGCCGTTGCATACTAACAATCAGTGATAAGGGTGTACAAATGGCGCTTCATTTGCGGAAGTACAAGGGCATCCGTATCAGAAGGATGAGCACCCCCACTGTTTTTGGAAATGCACCTTTTTAGAAATGCACCTATGGGAGCCCTTGAACATCCCAGCCTGGCACGCTCCGCAGGAGCTATCCACAGACACAGAGCTGAATGAGGACGAGGCCGCGTGACGTGGGCACCGAACGAGATCCTATTCTGTGCTAGTTTTAGTTAGCATCCTTTTCCTGTGCATGCTGGTTGGCCCTCTTCAGGTTGTAAGTTCTGCGCATAAGATCAGTTTGCTGAAGACTGTTGCCAGCCACTACACGTGCTTTATGTCTGGTAGCGCTCAGTCTATGGCAGCAAACAAGGAGCTCTCCAAGAGGCCACCCGCCTTTCAATTTGAAGAGCTCTGCTTGTGTAGGCGCAGGAGTTGAACGTTTCATGCTGGGACTATGCCCCGGACAAGCATTTGAAGGTGAACGTGTGAGAAATTCCCATGCGAGCCCGACCCCAAAGCTTTTGATCCATGTGAGCTTCGCTGGTGTAGGCTCCATGCTGATCTGGACATTTTCCAAAATAGGGGGTGTCCCCCAACATTGCAATCCCTCTCTGTGGGGACCCCTAAAGGATTCTATGCAAGCCCCATTTGGAGGTAGTTCTGGGCGTACAAAGCTGAAAGCCTTGCTTGCCACCAGAAATGGAAACTACCATACTATATTGTTATCGTGACTATTCGGGGTACATATAGAGGCTATATGGGGCTTATATAGGGCGTAGGGACATTTTCCCAAGACTGGAGGATCAAATGGGAAAGAACGTGGGGAATGAGATGGAAAGTAGGGTTATAGAAAGATTGCATAGGGATTGAGGATCGCCCCCAAGGTCGATGATCGTACCGCCGGTGAGCAGGGAATGAGGAATGGATAAGAAACTGGAAGCTACCTTACGATTGGGGTGTTGAATAGGGACGAGCCTAAACACCAAACCCTAAAAACCCTAAGCCCTAAACCCCGGACTACTGGGTGAATACTAGACCCGAAGCCCTAGACCCTAAGCCCTAAACCGTAGGCCCCAGACCCTAAACACTAAACTAGAAGGATCCATTCCTTTAATCCTTGAAGTGGCCCCATCATCTCACGAGAATATTTACTCCATCCAGGCGGTTTGGGGTTTAAGGGTTAAGGATTTAGGGTTCAGGGTTTGAGTTTAGGGTTCAGGGGTTAGGGTTTAGGGTTCAGGGTTTCGGGTTTAGGGTTTAGGGTTCAGGGTTTATGGTTCAGGGTTTAGGGTTTAGGGTGTAGTGCAGCAGGAGGAGCCCTTGGATGAGGAGGAGAAGCTGCTGGTGGAACGACGGAGGGAGCTTAAGGCCTGAAGTGTTACACTCCCCCTTAGGTAGATAGAATATGGCTTTGGGTCTATTATCATAAGATCCCCATAGACCCCATATTCCATCTACTTAAGGGGGGCTATAATGGTAGGGCAACCCCAAACCGCTTCATTACTGTTATTCTTATTATTGTGGGGGGCTGGAGGAGGGTTCAGGGGTTAGAGTGGAAGTAGTCCGATGTAGAATTGAGCATAGGTACCATTATGCGGGTGTCCATCGGGATTGTGTGGCGGTCATTCTTTTGTACTGCCCCTTGAGCACTAGTGGGTCTCCTGTAAGGCGGGCTGCAGGGCTGGTATTTTAAACTAAGGGGGTCCAATGTAGATGAGCCAGAGGTGTTTTCAACGCAGATTCTGTAGTTCTCCATACAGATGGGTGAGAATGCGATCGGAACCTGGGGACCCCAATACTCTTGCGTGGGTGTGTCTGAGTGCCGATTCCTCCTAAGAGATGACCATTTGAAGCAGCCCATGCTTATCCCGGCGCAGGCTCTGCTCATCGCTTCGCGACAAAGAGCGGACGCGTTAGCCAGCGCCATCGATGTGCAGGCCAGTTGCTGGCCCTTTAGGAACGCATCTAGTCGGATTCTCAGTTCCTAGAATTAGGAATACCTTTTTGGGGTCCCCGTAATAGGGATTGTGGTACATGGGGCTGTCCCATGAGGCAGCGCTTCAGGAGCACGAGCGAGAAGCGAAGTGTTGAGGGTCTGGAGAAGTTCTCTTGCTTTCTTTGTTAATGCGGCAGCTGTGCTAAAAGCAGGCGTCTTAATCAGATTCATAATGTGCCGGCTCTTTTCTATCAGGTGCAACCCGCTGCCCAGGCCGATAAATTTTCACAAAAGCAGTTTCAATCATACTACAACCCTCCGTAGAATAACTCCTGAAAAGGAACCCCACCAAATTTCTGGACCCCCCCCGCATACATAGGCACAGTGCACCCAGGCTCCTGGTTCCTGGTTCCTATGGTTCCAGTCCTGGGGCTCTGGCCGAAATGTTTTTTTTTGGCTTTTGCTCGGGAAGGCCAAAACAAATGAGGAAACAACCGTCGAAATGGACCCCCCCCATGGAAAACAATTTTTTCCACCCTCTTTCATGAACCGTCAGACGGAGGGACCACCTACCACAGGCCTTGGTGCCCTTGGCTGAAAATGGGTTGGGCAAACAGAGATTTTTGACTCCTGGCTGAACGTGGCCGCCAAAAGAAGGCTTGGAGCACAAATTCTGCCTCCAGAGTCAAGCCCAAAGGTTGACTCCGCAGGGCCAAACTTGGCTCCAAAGGTTTAGAACTTCCCCCAACGCTCAGTTGCAAGATTGGATGTTCCTCGTACTGGGTGTTTTTGAGCAACTGGGCCCAAAAGGTCAACGACTTGAAGCAACATACTTGCTTTTCAGACTAAGGCCCAGAAGATAGAAAGGCTTGTGGTTTTCCGACCTAGGCCCAAACAAGAGTTGGGTTCCAAAGCGGGATTAAGGCTTCAGGCGTAAGCCCGTGAGAGAAAGGCCTGTACCTTAAATCGACACGCTCCGCTCGTGGTGATGCTTGCGACCTTGAATTCATGGGAATTAGTCAGCATAATCTCTGGGTCCCTGTGTTATCTTTTCATGTACCCCAGAATCCCAAAGCCTAAATGCTAAATCCGACCCCAAATCCTCTACAACACAGACCCTGCATACGTCCCCATGGGCCTCTAAGGGCCAGAAAAACCTGGGCCCTAGGCAAACCCTACACTGTCTTTGAGAAACTCCCAAAACGCAAGCCGTTTGCTGCAGGTAGAGGAGGTGGTGACCAAGGCAGAGCTTCCCATCCCCAAGGGCGATCTTTTGAGGGTTGGTTAGGGTTTAGGGTTTAAGGTTTAGGGTTTAGGGTTTAGGGCTTCAAGGATTAGATTTCATGACGGTTTTAGGGTTGAGGGGTCAGCTTCTTGTTCCTCGTATCCATCAACTAAACGGAAGCCCAAAGGACACAGCTTCTGCATTCCATAGGATCCCCCTTCATTGGCTCCAACTACCAATTATCCCAAGCTTTGGGGTCAGCCAACCGGAAGCGCAACCCCAGACTTAATTTGCCCGAAGCCGAAGGCAGCCAAGCGTTCATGAGCATGAGCTTTCATTTTGGCATTTTGGAATACAGTAAACCTTTCTGAGCAGGAGAAGGAGAGGATGCAGGTCATCGAGGACCCTGGGTCGTTAAAGCAGAGCTTGACTAGATGGCTGCAGGGTGCCCTTTGAAACAGCAAGGGACCACCTTTAGCCCCATAGGGATGACACAGGGGAGCCTGTAGCGGCCCAAAACAGCCCAGAGAGTTCTCCAACTCAGAAACTTCCTGTTTTCCAATTTCCAAGGCGATCTACCTGCGACGGAGTCCTATTCGAGATGCCTTCCTACAGCATGTAGAGTTTCTAGACTACCACACCGACCTGCTTTTAGTCAGGCGTCTATGCATGTGAAAATGCCCATAGCCGTAGTCCCCTACCAACGCTTCTAATCGTAGTAGCGCCCTTTGAAATCTCTGCATGACTGGGAGCTATAGCCACTGGTACGCCTCAAACTTTAACAAACATGGGGCTTATGATTGTGATCCCATGTACTTTCGGGTTCCGTAAAGGGTACCCCTTTTTTGGGGGGAAAAACATGTTTAGGCCTAGCACCTAGGTAGGTAAAACTCGAGTTATGACCAGGTAATCTTGTATATCCTCCTATACTTCCAGCAGAGGACAGCTTTGTTTGGTGATATGCCTTCCTCGACCCTAAACCTTGAACTTCTATATCATCTTAGTTTGGATTTTATGCTGCATTTACCCCTGTTTTCCTTTCATGCCGATTCTCTGACATCACCTTGTAATCCAAACGAGGAATTGCATGATCTACTGGGATGATATTCCCCTACCTACCTGCGGGGACGAAGGGAATCTTGTCCCACTTGGAATCCTGCAAAGTCGGGGAAGATTCCCTCCCCTAAACCCTAAACCCTAAACCCTAACCTAAGGTAGTTAGTTCATGAGTACCAGGAGCTCTCGCGGCATTGTTCCGAGCTTCAACGCACACAGGCGCGGGCAGGGATGAGACACTTAGGGTTTAGGGTTTAGGGTAAGGCTTTAGAGGGGTCTCTGTATCGCCCCACTGCTCCCGATCCCCTATGACCCATCGATGCCTAAAACTACAGGCCCTGCTCGGCTGGTGCTGTTTTCTTCTGCCCCTCCCAAAATGGCAGCTCCCATAACGAGGGAACCCGAACATAGACCCTAGTACAGTTTTTCAGGTTCATATTAACGAATGTCTGGCGGTTCAACCTGGACTGTCAGGGAAGTTTCATGTGCAGAGATGTGTTGTCAGTTCTCTTTCCCAAACTCACGCGAAAAGAGTCTTACTTGGAGGAGGTTCATGGGCTCTAAGTGCGGCTAGGAGTACCCTAATGCTATAACCCCAAACAGTCCATGTAGGGTTATCGTATAGACTCAGGGCCTAAAGGGTTTCCACGTAATTGGGGCCCAGGTATATACTATACAGCTGCATGAGCCTTTTGGGAATGAACCTATTTTCTCATGCCAACACTTCTACGTGCCCATGAACCAATAAGTCGCGATGCCAGGAGCAGCGGCAACAGGGCCTGCTTCAAGAGCTGGAGAAGCCCACCATGATTCATGGGCGGCTTACTGGGGGTTTGCAAAGAATACGGAATGTAACATAGGGTTTAGGCTGGGGTTCAGGGTTAGTAGGGAACAAGGGAATGCAATCCCTATAGAATCCCTTTTTAACATATTCCGTTATAACCTGCTAAACTCCAGTAAGTTAGTTTTGGGGTGAATCCAAAGATTTTCCCAGACTGTGGATCTTTACACCTTGTTGGTACTGCTTGCTGAAGGTCATTGTCAGGACCTGACACTATTGTGCAGCTATCTATTGATCTGTGTCTGGATGCACATTCCCAATCTTCTGCCTGACTTTCCTGCAAAATACTGCTCAGCTGCAGCAGCGTGCAATCACTCTGCATGCCGTCATTACGGTTCTTCTTGTATGCTCTGGCTGCAGCTGGCCTGGCAGATTTTCTTTGTGCTACGGCCATGCTTCATATCATAAACCCTAAACCCTATACCCTAAACCCTGAACCCAAATAGTAGTTTCCATTTTCTTTTCCATTATCCCTTTATAAACCCCATATCACCGCCGGTTGAAGCGCCCTCTTGGATCAAAAAGTTCTGTGGCCGAGGAAGCTCAACGCCGCGACCCAGCAGTGCAGCGAGTGTGACTTGCACGCATGCGTCAGAATGTTGATCTTAAGGCAGCACGTTGTCAAATCTAATTGGTCCCGTCCTGTGTTCGCAGCATGTCCCGCTTCTATATCGAAAGAGGGACCCAAATTTTGACAGGGGTAGGGGTACGTTGGACCTGCTTCTGCCTTGAGGTCTAGTTTGAAGGCCACTCCACAGCAGAAGCATACCAAGGATGCTTATAACCAGATTATGTAGGCGACCCATCTATGATCACCAGTATCCCTTGTAGTCACTAGTAGTGTGTGAAGATCGCCCAAAGTATTCTCAAAAGACTCTACTGCAAAGAAAGGTCCTGCACGAGCCAACTCCAGTGAATGTTCTGCTTTTGGAAAGTTAAGGCAAACTGCTGTTTGTACAAGGTCAAGGGCATCTGGGTCAGGGTTAAGGGGTTCGGCTTCAAAGTTGAAACATCTTCCCAACAAATTGCCACAAAAGCTTGCTACGATGCTTAGGCGAGAACAGATCTCAGTGGCTTGGCTGCTTCTGGCTGACTTATCTTTCTAATCTTCTCTTGAGGTCCCTTAATTCTGGCGCACTTCTTGCAGCTATAACCCTAGCTGCGGATTTGCCGTCAGAGATGAGGGATGCTTGCGTAAGGGTCGGTGTGCAAACTTTCAAGTTTTGAGTCTTGAGTGCACTTTTGTGTCTTCGTGGCCCTCAGCCGTGCAGATCCTAATTAAATCCTAGGCCTCCATAAGTAAGGGGTCCTCTTGGGGTTCCATTTTAGTTTGGGGATGTACACGTTGTTTGAGAGGCCCAGCTCTCACACGCAAACACATTCGGTGGTGTGTCCTGCATCTGCCAGATTTCTTAAGAACATTCTAGCTCAGGTGTCACTCGCATAGATAGTCCCAATTTAGGTGACCGGCTCCCTAAGCAGAATGATACAACTTATCTGGGTTGCTACATGGTAGTTTCCCAAAATAGGGGAACCCCAATATAGACCCCAAAATACTACAGTCCTTATTATTGGGACCCCCAAAATGGTATCCCTAATTATAGGAAACCCCCACATCTGCCTGTTGTACTAGTATAATCTGTGGGTGGCCTGCAGAGCCCAGGATGCGAAACAACTACTTGTGGGGGACAGCCTAAATCATATTTGAATGGCAGACTAACCTGATTGCCAGGAGTTGTTTCTGCCACCTCCAGCATACAGTCAGAAAGTAGCAGTGTAGAACATCCCTTCCAAAACGTCCGTTCTCAGACCCTTTATGTACAGGAGTCTGCATATATCTGCAGATGAGGTGTGATTTTCTTGTCCCAGTCGCAACCATAGTTCTCCTTCGAAGTCTTGCCCGACCATATCATAGAATGTACTAGGGCCTCACCCATGCTAGGTTCTTGGTGGAGCGGATCATTACGCTCCTGGCTTGCAGCCCCCTCGACCCAGAGCACATAGAGGTGCTGAAGGCAAGCTCCTGGGTCCTGCAATGTATACGGTAAATAGAAAGCAGAAATACATGAGCAAATTCATAGATGTGTATATACATGTATATATATAGAGTATGTAGATATACATATTAGGTGAGTTTTAAAAATGAAGCCTAGCGAGTGGCTGTATTGAAGTTGCCGTAAACAATGGTGTAGGCTTCGTAAGCTACCGCAACCAAAATGAAGGCACTTGTTGCGCCGAAAGCTCTTATTTCCGGGTTTTGTTTGATTCTTGCTGGGAAGAAGCAGTTCGTTATCCCCGCATTGCCGCCGGAAGCACTGTAAGCTCTTGTAGGCACAGCGCGCGGCTGTAAGCTAAACCTTGGATTTCGTAAGCTACCGTAAGCAGAGCTGATATGGTGCAAGAGACTGGATAAGGGTTTTGACCCAAAAACGTCAAATCCTAAACCCTGAAGCATGTAGATATACACATTATGTATATAAACCCCCAAAACCCTAAAGCCTAAAGCATATAGATATACCTAAGCTCTAAACCCTAAACCCCAAATCCCTAAAGCCTATAAAATGTACATATTCTGTATCTCTGCATCCAGGGCTCCTGGCTCAGGCTTTTGGATTAGCCACTCTGGGCCTAAATCCTGGGGCATTGACTCAAGGAGCTCCAGTCCCTGTCCTGTTGGATGTTATCAAAAGTGCCCAAAGAACCATGTAGGGGTCATATAAGGCTATAGGGTTATAGTTGTGGGGTTTTGTTTAATTGGGTTGCCGTGTAGGCCCCTTTTCCCATTTGCCGGCTTGCCTGCCTTCTAAAACTGGGTTATGCTTGCAACGGGGCGGTCTTATTCCCAGATTACTGAAGTTCCTGGTCAGCTTGAGGTAGGTTAATAACCCCCCTTAATGATATAATAGCCCCAGCTAAATTAGTTACTACCCCTACTTACTAAGTCCTGCTGCAAGCATCACGGGGTCGCAGAGGACATTTCCAAACACCGAAGAATAAGATGCCATTATCCTTAATGTTGAGGGTTGAGGGTTAAAGGCTCAGGGTTTAGGGTATATGAAGCCCCCCCCCACCCCACGAATATTAAGCACTGCCATTGTGACCTTTATGACAGTTTTGGGAATATTGAATACAAGGGGGTTTGGAGGGTTTTGTATTAGGGGGAGGGGATTGTTTACAAGTCTGTAAACCTCTTAACTCCAAAGCCCAAGCCTGAAGAAGGCCCTGCAACCTCAAAAACCTCAGAGCTGCCAGCCTTGACTTGGGGTTCAGGGTTTAGGGGGGTTTAGGGTACAGTTTAGCGCCTCAGGCCAAACACCATGCGGAGAGAGAGATGCTCCGACAGCAACACGGCAGCCACATGAACTGTAGTCTAGGACTCGGGGATTAGATGAGGAGTATTATGGGGGGCATTTCAGGGGAATACTAGGAGTTTAGACTATAGCTCTGCTTATTGGTGGTTAGCAGTGGATGATGGAATGGATCCCTATAGTACTTGCACATATTCCCTACGTAATCTCTCACCGTGGTCACTACAGCGGTATAGCCCATTCCGTAATTCCTACCGACCAGCAGTAGGTTGGGGCTTTGGATTGGGGCTCGCAGTGGAGAAGGCCCAGGATGAACTGGTGTCATCAGAAGGGCTTGAATATCCGAGCCCTCCATATCAGAACAGTGGTTAAAGGGGTATCTTAGGAAATTGGAGAAGAAAGTGGACACTACTGCATGATTTGGGGTTTTGATCCATGAAAACACAACTAGCCAAAAACCCTAAAGCCGAAACAGCCGAGATGGCCCGAGCTCAGTGTGGGGTGTTAGGGTCAAAGGCACATCCGTGGCTTTTCTTGCAGTTGTAGAAGACATGCAAAATGCTCAGCCCCAAGACCGTCCCGCCGTAAGGGAACGGACAGGAGCCCATGCGGCAATCCAGAGAATGAGTATTGCGGAGCTTGAGTTGCAAATCTCTGAGCGGCGGCTGGAGCTTGAGGCTATCACCTCTCAGCGACAGACCGAGTTGAAGATGCTGGAGGAACAGCTCCAAGACCCGAGGTGCAGGTTGGTAATCCTCACTTTGGTGTCTCCCTCAGGATCTACGTTCACATGAGAGGTTATGCCAACCGACTCCATTTCTTGCGTCAGGCAGATGGCAAAGGAACTCCTGAAGCTTGGCGATGACAAAGTAGTGCGACTGGTGTATGAAACCAAGCACATGGAGGAGGACAAGACGATTGCTGACTATGATGTCACGTCCGCAGACCTCATCACTGTCATCGTCGTCCCTGCCCCAGCATTGAGCAGGTTGCAGGGCGAGTGGGGCGATGAGTATGGCTGCACCTACATAGTTGATAAGGATCTCTGCCTTGCCCAGCTTTCAAGCGGCCAGCTGATCACGGTGCCGCTCTCGCAAGACAGCGATGGCCGGGTTTGCTGGTTTCAGCGATGGCATGTGGACCGCGAGGATCTGGCAAAGTTTGACAAAACGGGGGTCTTGCACTGGGTGCCCGCATACGGGGAAGACAGTCCTCTTGCATGGCATCGATCGGCCACCGCTGAGCCAGGGGATCTAGTCTTCCTTTGCAAAAGACGACGGCACATGTCAGGTTAGGCCACCCTACATCTTTCTATACAACGGCTATCCGGATGCTATGCTGATGGCAACCTGGAAAAGCAGGAGCCGCAGGTTCACTCGTCGCATAATGTGGCACGCCGGTAGCACACCTGGAAAAACAGGACCCGCAGGTTCACTCGTCACATAACTGTGGCATGCAGGTAGCACGGCGCCAGGCCCCATAAACCTTACTGCCTTCTGTGGAAGCTTTGAACTGGAACTGCTAAGGTTTGAGGACATTCGTCAACAATACGATGAGGTGCGGCAGCAGAATGTTGCAGCTTGGTCGGCAGGTTAGGGGCGCTAAGTTTTGAAAGGATTTCGCAGTGCTATGTCGGCTTCTATGTCT